TGAAGAGAACACACTTTAATAAGAATCTTGAAGCAAGTCACTTTGACTTAAAAGGTACTTTGTTTATTCAGGTACTATGTTGTGAATCCCTTCTCTTTGCTGATAACTTTTATTGGCAGCAGCAGCCCCTGCCTCCCCCCACCCACCCTCACACAAACAAACCCCTGGCCCCCATCTAAGAAAACCAGCCTTTACTCCTTTAGAAAATAAAATAAAATTCAACAACTTTACCTAAAGCACTTAACTCAGAAGAGATGTAGAATCTTCATCACCCATTCTACACCTCACTGGCTCTGGGCCTAAAATGAGAGATTTCAACCTCACCCAGAAAGAGGTCTATCCTGGAGAGACATACAACATACCAAAGGAGTCACAGGTTCTTACTCATCAGGAGTCAGGTTAGCATGTACTGGAGTGGACGCTAAGAGTGTTAGATTAAATAAAATTGAATGAATAGTTTGATTATCAATATTGATGCACTTGCTTGGAATTCAGGATTTAAATGTATTAGTGTAAGCTTGTGGAAGTACCGTTATAGTTTTCCAGTTGGTTAATTGAAGCTTGGACTCAACACAGCCTATAGTCTATGAGTATGAGATAGCAAAATTTCTCTAGCATACTATAGAATGATTTAAAAATTTTAATATGCATAAATATCACCTAGTTAAACACTTTCCTGGGCCCCATGCCCAGATATTCTGATCCAGTTAGAAATAAGGTTGGAACACAAAGGACACAGTTATAGCATTTTGATCAAGAGATCATAAAATTACTTCAAATTATATCTCACTGATAGAATCATAGAAGGAAACACCTTAAATTTTTCTGCTGAGCAGACCTGCCCATCAGAGTGGACAACCATGAGTCACAGAAGTCCTAGATCCTAGACCAGTGTTTTTCTCAACTGTCTGTTCATGATTGCTTCCCTAAGCAGCCTCTTTAGACAGTTTTTCCCTAACTGCCCTCCCCCATGAAATTTTAATGCCACAGAAATACTGGCACATGTACTATATGTAATATATATATTATTATTGTGTATATACTGAGGTGGAAGGGAATCAAGATCTTTCCCACCTTTTTTCCCTTGCATTTATACTTTGCCATGTCAGAGATCCATACTCGTATATTGTATATACTCTTTGTATGTTATATTTACAATACTACTGTATTTGTTATACACATGTAAATACTTTTTCACACCTCAAGCACCAGTGTTTACCCCCATTGGGAATGTGTCTTCTAGACCCAGATCTACTATTATCTCATTACATTTTCTTAAACTATTATCATTTTTGAGACTTAGTTTCCTCTTTGCTGACCAGTAAGTGTGAGATTATTCTCAAGATTCCTCCACTCTTCTGCCCCTCTACAGATACTATCCCATTAATGAGCTTGCCCTTTAGTCCACATACAGCATTTGCTTGCATCTCTCTGTGAAGAATATACATCAAAAAATTGCCAGCAAAATGAGTACAAAAATGAACTACATTTTTCCTTAGTTTGGCATCAGCTTTGCTTTTCAGGCCCCAGGAAGGCTAAAGCCTATAGCTTAGTTTAGTCCATACCGGCAAGCTGAGGACAGTCTGACAATTGGTCAGTCGGATTTAGGACCACCAATCATGTTGCAGTTCAAACCCTTTCTCCTGTCCTGGGCACCGTGTGAATTAGAAATATCCACATTCTACCCCTCCACTCTATTTTCTGGGCAGTGTACCAGCTCCCAGGAAATGCCTTCAGCAGGACTTGGAGCAGCACCTTCTCAGTCATGGCTTCATTTTCCCTCAATTGCTGTAAGGATCTAACTGTTGAAGTTGGCACAGTTTAGTTTCTCACCCAGAGAGAATCAGAAGCTGACTTCTTGGTCGGCTGGTACCCATCTGAGTGTCTTGTGCATGTACATTTCTGGTGTTCCCCTTACTACTGAGCAGTGTCTTGAACGGTACAAACAAGCTGCCCAACGTTCACAGCTTCAGTCTTGGGTTTATCCAAGATTCGGGGATCCTGGGACTCTTTGACATGGCAAACTATAAATCTAAGGGAAAACAAGGCAGGGAAGATATTGACTCCTTCACACCTGCCTTGTTTCCTGCCACTAACAGACACCATATGAGAAGCAGCTACCAGAGTGTCTCCTATGTTGGGAAACATCCTCTCTGGGAGGAACAGTTTCCCTTTGTAGAGAAACACAGTGAACACATAAAACTCCATTGGGGAGGGCAGCCCATGAAGCCCTCACCAACTCTTTTCACCCACTCCACATCTCCTCATGCCAAAAGTCTAATAAGGCTTATTTTAACTAAAAAGAACTAAAATATATTTTTTCTTTAGTCCTTGACTCTGATTTTACTCCTCTATAAACCAGCACTTTCCACTTAGCCAGCAGGTAGAAGATAAGGAACCAGTCTGCAGCCTTTAATAAAAATTGTGGTGTATATGAGCATTAGGATTAGTGATTCATGTCTTTTTCTGCTATCTGTCCTATGTTCCAAAGCCTTAGAAGCAGAAACTTGTAATTTAACACTTCATACTTTTACTTATCTACTTCCCCATATCTGTATCTCTTCCTGTATCCTACCTCTAAATTAACTGTGCAATTATCAAGCCAATTTCACTCAATTCAGAACAGAGGGATTATCTTGGCTGCCTCCGTCATCATCCTTATGAGCTACATTCAATCAGCCATTAAATCCTGTAAATTCCTCCTGGGTCATATATCTCTGTCATAAACCCCTTCTCTGTCACTCTACTGTCTGAATTCCAGCCTTCACCAACTTTTGCTTGAACAATTGCAAATTGGTTTCCCAGTCAATGAAACCTCTTCCCACCCCACACTGAGCAGATCTTCACGATGTTACCAGGTAACCCTCCTGCCTCAAAATTTTTGACATATGTGGAAACAATGCAGTACTTGACAAACAATACTTGAGAAAATATGAAATCATAAATTTTTCTACCTTTATGAAGAGAACACACTTTAATAAGAATCTTGAAGCAAGTCACTTTGACTTAAAAGGTACTTTGTTTATTCAGGTACTATGTTGTGAATCCCTTCTCTTTGCTGATAACGGAGACTCTAGGAGGGAAAAGTAACACCCAGGGAAGCTACACAGAGAACCTATCTTTGCTAGCCCATCATATTGGGTGAAGAGATAAAGAATAAATTGTGCGCAATATTTTCATTATCGTAAGTGACATTTCTCTACAGTGTTTTCTGCCATTTTCAGAGTAAAAAAGTAACTACATACTGCCAAACTGTTTTATTACCCACTGTGGAGAAAACGAAAGGTCCTGTGGCCAGGATTCTCACCTGGCCCTGGTTGGCTAGCTCACTACACACATGTGGGCAATACACGCTCCACCCAGTGGTGTGGGGGCAACACTGGCACAACCGCAAGGCTGCAGGTGAGCAGAGCAGAGGTTGGAGTAGGAGCAGTGCCGAGGACAGAGGCCCAGAGGATGGCTGTGCGGACAGAGGGGCCCAGAGGCAGAGACTGGCTTGCTGCAGGCGGCCGACTTGCTCTGAGTGAACAGGATTTTAGTGATAGACGTGCCACCGTGGAAATAATAACGTTGGGTATAACCTTTTCACCCCAAGAACGTTTTACTCATTTTCTTTTGTCACATTGAATCCATAGTGAATTTGCTGGGGATGAATTCCCAGCAAGACACCCACATAAAACGCAAACCTTTATGTCTGTCAAGATTTAGACGGTTAGAAGATTATGATAAAACATAATTAGCAGTACCTAGGAGATAAGGTTCTTGAATTTTACATGTTGTTAATCACCTTATCTAAAATAGAACCCCTCCAAGGCTTTAAGCAGCTTTATTTTCCTTCATAGTACTTATCACCACCAAACATTTTGTCTATTTTTTGTCTCATTAGAAAGTAAACGTCCTAAGGGCAAGGACTTTTGTGTTGCTAAGGTACTGCATGTTTTATTCATTTGTATACATCCCTTGTACAGGGCTTGGTACAAAGTGAGCCTCAGTAAACACTGGTTTAATGAATAAAGGAGAGTGACGTTTTAGAAAACACTGAAAAACAAAAACAAAAAACATAAACCTTCCTCGTGAAGCCGAGAAAAGGCTTTTTCACTTTTCAAATTATGCGCAACGAAAACATCTGAGTAGTCCTCAGAACCACCTTGGGTCAAAGAGCCTGCTGTTTATCAGCCCTATGTTATAAATACACACTGACGCTTGAAAATGTGCCATGGGGGAAGTCACAGAGAAGTGGACAAAAATCCTAAAATCCGTCCTGACTGCCCTCCGACTCTAGATTTTACGAGGTCCTTTGGAGTCAGGCCCAGGAAACCGGTTGGCTTTGGTCTGAACCTGCCACATTTGACACATATCTCGCAAAAATTTGAGAGGAAAGCAACAGTGCAACGGAATTTTTAATTCTCACACAATTGTTATTCAATTTCTAAATAATTTTGCAGCTGCTGCAACAAACTGAAACAAAAACGAAAGCGAGTTCCGTTACCCACAGCCAAAATGGTCGAAGCGCCTTCGCTGCCCACACCCAAAATGGACGTGAACTGTGACGCACTCAACAATCCTCCGCTGGCCCCGCCCCTTCACCCAGGAACCCCTCCTCTCTTCGTGCACGCCCTTCCGTCAGAGACCTGCTCATGATTGGCTGTCTGCAGTGTTTGCGTTATTCTGGGTGTTGCGTCACTCGGTAACCAGGAGGGACTGCACGGGCTCACAGAGGTGGGAGGTGTACGCTTCTCCGTTTAGCCGGCCCGGAAGGGGATCTGCGCGGTTGAGGTGACCGGCCACTGAGGTATGGCTCCCCAGGCGGACAGGTACCGAGCTTTACCGTACTCTCGACTGCCGGCCCGCGCGGCCCCTGAGTACTTTGGGGGAGGGCTGGAGGCGGGGGCGCTTCTGGCTGCGTCACGGTCTGCCCGCGCGTCAGGGTTGTTGTCCTGGGTGACCCGGTGGGCGGGAGACGGCGGCTGTTGGGCCTACGGTGGGCGGGCAGGGGCTCGCTCTGTCTTCGCCGTTCTCCCCGGGCAGCTGGGTGCTGAGTCACCCCGCGGCCAGGCCGTAGAGCTGCCGTCCCGGCAGATAAAGGCATGCCTGAAGCGAGGGTGTTTCGGAGAGTGCGTTGAGTTTGGGAGGCCGGAGGCTTGCTGCTGTGTTCATCCGACCCTAGTAAGCTGAGTGAACTTTCTTGGGATCTAGGCTCTCAGAATTGTATGGGGTTGGTAATATTTTACCCATTTTATGTTATAGTCAAGACACCTGAGTCTCAAAGAGGTCAAACACTGGCACGAGGCCACTGGTAGCATGTAGCAGAAGCAAGATTCGCACCCTGTGGTTACCCGACTGTAACGTCGCTGTGGCTGCGCAGGGCCTCGTTTATAGTCAGTAGGCTGAGATGATGTAATGACATGAAAATGCTAGAACTATTTTTCCGAAGGACAGATGCCAGGTGTTGTACACTCTGACCCACTACCAGAAGTACACTTAGGTATTTTTAAAGCAAACTTTCTTAGTTTTTGAAGTATCAGTTAAAATACAAATTCCTGTGTTCCAATTCTAGAGGTGTCTAAATTTTAAAATGCATTCCAGGTGATCCATTGAAACATTTTATATCATGTTTTGAAGGGAAGTAATATTTGGCATGTTTAGCAGAAATTTACAGTGTTTGGTTCCCCTTGCTGTCTTAGGCAATGCAGTATGACCTCAAAGACTTAGTCGTTTCTTCCTTGGATGACACTTTGTCTTCTGCTCAAAAGTTATACAGTAGTCTTTTGAACTCTCCATTGAATGCTGCTATAAATCTGAAGCCAAAGCCAGAAAGCCATCACCCACCCTGTAATTCTCTTACGGTATTAACATCCACTTTTTATTAGATAACTTGTACATCTTGCTACTGTTTAAACTGGGATTTTAATCTTTTTTAGTGATGCATCCTAATCTGGGTTCTGTGGAATGGATTTTTTTAATTAATAAGGGGAAAACAGAAGGTTCACTGTTAACACTTTATTCCATTTTTTTCTCCTAGCTTCTCCTTGTCTCTGGGTCCTCTCTGTCCTTCCCGCAGTTTTCAGTTGTTTGATTTTTTTTGTCTTTGTCTTTGACTAGCATTTCAGATCTGCTTGGTAAACCTGGTGTACCACCATGCTAGCTTCAAGACTTGTGTGTCTTCGGATACTCCCTTCCAGGGTTTTCCACCCAACTTTCACCAAGGCCTCCCCTGTTGTGAAGAACTCCATCACAAAGAATCAATGGCTCTTAACACCTAGCAGGGTAAAGATAATCTGAGTGATTTTACATTGTCTCTCACTTGTGCCACGGGAAACCACTTTTTGACAGAACATGAAGTTCCTGACTTTACCATTAGTGATTTACTAAAACAATTAGCCTTGATAATGGTCCAGATCAGCTCTTTCTCACCGTTAGTTTTGTATCATTCTATTCCATCCTTACCACATACGAAGGAGAAAAACCTTCTGCAACTTTACTTACAGCTTTTGGCATTTCTTATTGAGAGAACTTAGAGTACTTTGTGAAGAATGGAGGACTATGTGGTGCAGAAAAAAAAGATGGAGGAGCCTGTAGTTAAAAGCATAAGAACCCAGGGCTATTACCAGGTGGCCAATAGCTTATTAATATGTTACTAAGTTTGTCATTTCAGCTCTTGTTTAGAGATGGTAAAAATCTGTCCAGTTAGACAGATACCCTTTTCCTTTTATAATAGATTTCTGCTCTAACATTCGAATTAGAAATATAAATTTTGAAATGTGAGTAAGAAAATGACTCACAAATAAGAAAATAAGCTAGAACAGATGGTTTTTCTCCTAAATTAACTGTTCCACTGTTGAAAAAGAGCTAAGATAAGCATAGTAGTCATCCTTCCTTTTGGCTTTATGTTAAGGAGAGATACCTTTCTTGAAAATTTTCCAGATGAGAAGATTTAGCTAATACTTATTGAATGCGTGTTTTTAAAAAGTTAATGTTTAAAATATAGTACTTCTACAGACATAAATAAAAACTGGTTTGTAAAATAATGATTCTAAAGCTTATAAGAAGTTAAGCTGTAATGAATTACTAAATCACTTCAAAGAGCATAGGTAGGGTCTACATTTAATTTTTTAGATTGGCTAACATACTTTCATAGTGAAATCATGTACATGGAAAGTAACAAATTATGTAGACTTTTCTAATGTAACAAGATCCTCTGTTATGTTTTATTGTTAACATTCTGTTTTGGTGAGGGTGATATGTGTCTTGTTTTCTTATGTATCAGGAATATGCTACCAAGACAAGAATTGGGGTCCGGCGTGGAAGAACTGGCCAAGAACTCAAGGAGGCAGCATTGGAACCATCGATGGAAAAAATATTTAAAAGTAGGCGGCAGCGTTTATTTTTTAAACTGGAGTGCATGGAAAAAGTTTTAAGTCCATGAACAGTCTCCTAAAAATATATGCAAACTTGTGTATATGTGCATATTTGGGAAGAAGAGTAATCATTCTCATCATTTTTAAAGATCTGGTGACCCAGAAAAGATTGCTACTTCACACTGAGTTCAGTGGTTCCCAGTCATACTCTTGCCGAAAAAAATTTACTTTCTCCATTATTTTTTAAAAAGTATTGCTAGCAAGTATCTAAAAGGTTTAATCTTCTAAGAAAGTTCATTTGAAACTGTATAAAATCCTTACTCAAGCATATAATATTTATGTATATGCTAGGTCAAGAGCAATTCAAAACAAAAATAATTAATATAGGCCTTTCAAGAAGCAGTAGGTTAATAAAGTAGTTTCATTCACAGTTTGCATTTCAGCTTTTCAAGTTCAGAAACTAAATTGTTAATCTGTGCAAGCCAATCAGAGAACACTACTGTCCCTTAATCTTGAAAATGTCAAAATATTATAATGAAAGAGAGCCCTAATCAGTGTCCCTCAAGGCATTTCTTTCTGATTAGTAAATTGCCCTTGGAAACTAAATTATATGAATCATAAAGTGACAGCAGGGTAACATTTTTTTTAATTGAAATATAGTTGATACACAATCTTACATTGATTTCAGGTATACAACACAGTGGTTCAACAGTTACCCATAGTATTAAATCCTCACCCCCACTAGTGCAGTTACTATCTGTCAGCATAGGAAAATGTTACAGAATCACTGGCTATATTCTCCATGCTGTCCTACTATCCCCATGACCAACTTAAATTATGATTGAGAATTTTTGTGCCCCTTTAGTAGCATTCTTAGAAAATTGAGACTGAAGGGAGTAAGATGCTCTTTGTGAATACCTCCGTCCAGTTAGAGTTGATAAATTAATTCTCAGTGCTCTTAAACGAGCACTCTCTACCTGGGTTCTGCTGCATAAACACTGATTACATTTTTATTTATTGTTTTTTTTTCTTGGCTACATGTAAAACTTCATCTTTGTTAATTACAGTTTAAGCACAGTGCAGTATAACTACTAATGTTTTTCTCCTCATCTTTACTTTCTAAGAGTGTCATGAGAACACACCACAGACTCTTGTAAATTAACGTATAAGAAAGAAGAATCCCCACATCTATGGATATACTTACTGCAAGTTCCTTATTGCAGTAATTAAGACATCTGTGTTTCAGCGGTGTGTTTTTACTGGTCCACTAATTTTGAGGCCATATCTATATCCCCACATATCCTAATTACAGCTGTTCCAAAGAAGTATGGTATATGTTTGCTTTCCCTCTTATAAACTAGAAAGGACTTCCTAATTTAGTCAGGATGTGGTAGTATTAACATGCATTTCTTCCTGTGTCCTGCAGTTGACCAGATGGGAAGATGGTTTATTGCTGGTGGGGCTGCTGTTGGTCTTGGAGCACTGTGCTACTATGGCCTGGGAATGTCTAATGAGATTGGAGCTATTGAAAAGGCAGTGTAAGTAAATTATTCTCACACAGTTCCATCCTTAAAAGTTCTAGTTTTCTTCTCCACATTTGGCATGTGTTAAGTCTAGTTTTCCAACTGAAGAGAGGTACATGTGCATGAAAATAGGACCTTTCTGTTTCCTTGGCATATATTTATTCAAACCTAAATAAAAATTTTTATGAAGCTTACATGTATTTAAGCAAGGAGAAACTGCTTTGCATATGTGCCAGATGCATGTATGGTTTATATCATTTAATTTTTATAGTAACTCCAACATATGCATCATTATTTCCATCAGAAATGAGGTAAATATGATTTAGAACAGTAAAGTGGTATTTCCTAAGGTCTCCCAACTAGTAAATTACAAAACCAAAATCTACATTTATAATCCTATAAAATAAACGTATTTGTTTCTTACAGAATTTGGCCTCAGTATGTGAAGGATAGAATTCATTCTACATATATGTACTTAGCAGGAAGTATTGGTTTAACAGCTTTGTCTGCTCTGGCAGTAAGCAGATCTCCTGTTCTCATGAACTTCATGATGAGAGGCTCTTGGGTGGTAAGTCAACTTCTTTTTTTTTTCTTTTCCTTTTCCACTAAATACCAAAAGATTAGATAAAAGATATTTGGCAATGGATATTAAATGGAAAGAATACCTTACTATACTGAACAAGTTTTTGTTTAAATAATATACAAATTATTCGTGCAGCTGAGACAAAGTAGGAAGTACATTCTGAGGTAAGCCAGCTATTTTCAAAGGCAACAAAGGTGTTGGAAACCGAACTTAACAGGAATGTTCTACTTAACTAGCAGCAGATATCAAACAGCCTTTACTTGGTAGCAGCTTACTAAAAAATGAGGTAGATGCAAAACCATTTTAGGGGTCAGTGGAAAATAACTTGGCACAAACACCCAAGCCTTCCATATTGTTGAGCAGACCAGTGCAGCCACTGTTACTCTGAACGCTCTTGACCCTGTCTAGGTTTTACATTCAGTGGGTGTTTCTTGAGCATTTGTTGTTTTGCTAGATACTGCAAAATGATTTCAAATATGGTGCCTATTTTTCTACTAAATGGTTGATGAGATGAACTCATTACTGTCTTAGACTAGTAGGGAAGGTCCGTGAAGGAGACATTTATTTCATCACGGCTGTAAAAAGCTAGCATTTGTTATTTTAGGAGAAGACAAAGGTAGTCCAAGTTTGCAAAACAGCTCGAGCAAAGGAGAGGAAGTACTGATTAAAAGGAATTTCGCAGTCCCATTGGAGTGAAGTTCAAGTATTTGAGGTCTGGAGCATGAAGAAGACAATTAGAAAGGGAATGTTTGATTGCCAAGCTGAAGAGAGTGCCTAAGCAGTCAGGGCATTGCAGATACTGACACAGTGAAATACGATTTGTATTTGAGTCTTAAGAACTAATATGGAAGAGACAAGAAGCAGGTGTTTCCACCTGTGCCTTTGTAAGATCTGAAATGAGTTATCATAAGAAGGTGACCTAGAACAATGAGTGTGAGACTGGAAGGGAAGGAGAGATGTGAGAATTTGTATAGCAGATTTCCCATAGCAAGCCAGTTCTTCCTGTAGCTAACCTAAAGTCATCTAAATCCCAAATCTTTACTATTTTCACTGTGTTATTCAAAAGGAGAGAGCCATTTGCAGTAGTGTAGCCATTTAGACATTTCAGTGTTCCCAGGATCTTGCTTCTCGGTGGATGTCATGAAGCTTCTAGCCCACACGTTCATGAAGGCATAGAATAAGCATGGTGCATTCACTCCAGGAATGTCAGTTTTAAACAATGCTTTTGTAGTAAACAAACCTGGCTATATAAGAAAGATTACAATATATAAGAATTTAGACCCTAAAAGAAGACCAAAGAAATGTTGCCCTTGGGCCATAGACTCAGTCCACCCCCCAACCCATGGGCATAAGATCACTCTCACCTGCTGTTAGGGCTACTTAAGTGAAATAGTGTGAAAAGCCAGATAGGTGCTACAGAGACGAGGATTTAGCCCTTTGCGGATGGCAGACACACACAGATAATGTCAAAGCTTGTACCAAGTTGTTTTGGAACAAAGAGACATGAGGCATTTTAACAACTGCGTGCGGCAGCCAGGGTACCTACCAGAAAAACTTGCCAGATTAGGAAGTAGTCCTTGAGTCAGTCAGTCAGATAGGAAAGAGGTATCCTTAGGTGCAATAACAGAATTAGAGAGGCATGAAATTGGAGCTTGTTTGCAGCTCTTCACAATTCAGTGTGGTTGCAGTGTAGAGTTTGGAAAGGTGAAAGGCGAAAAACTGAACTGGATGATGAAGGACCTAAAAAGAAAAACATTTAATTGTGATGAATATACTGAAAATGCACGGAGATGTATGAAATAGCTTTTATTTATTAATTTTTTTTATTAAAGTATTAATATATTCTTACGAAGGTTTCACATGAAAAACAATGTTTGCTACATTCACCCATATTATCGAGTCCCCTCCCATACCCGATTGCAGTCACTGTCCATCAGTGTAGTAAGGTGCCACAGAGTCACTACTTGTCTTCTCTGTGCTGCAGTGTCTTCCCCATGATCCCCCACACACAATGTGTACTACTCATAATACCTCTAAGTCCGCTGCCCCAGCCCTTTCCTTTGGTAACCGCTAGTCCTTTTCTGGAGTCTGTGAGTCTGCTGCTGTTTTGTTCCTTCAGTTTTGCTTTGTTGTTATACTCCACAAACAAGGGAAATCATTTGGTATTTGTCTTTCTCTGCCTGACTTATTTCACCGAGCATAATATCCTCCAGCTCCATCCTTATTGTTGCAAATGGTAGGATTTGTTTCTTATGGCTGAATAGTGTTCCATTGTGTGTATGTACCACATCTTCTTTATCCATTCATCTATTGATGGACACTTAGGTTGCTTCCATATCTTGGCTATTGTAAATAGTGCTGCAGTAAACATAGGGGTCCATATGTCTTTTTAAATATGAGATCTTGCTTTCTTTGGGTAAATTCCTAGGAGTGGAATTCCGAAGTCAAATGGTATTTCTATTTTTTAGTTTTTTGAGAACCTCCATATTGCTTTCCACAATGGTTGACGAGTTCACATTGCCACCAGCAGTATAGGAGGGTTCCCCTTTTCTCTGCATCCTCACCAACATTTGTTGTTCCTAGTGTTTTTGGTGTTGGCCATCCTAACTGGTGTGAGGTGGTATCACGTTGTGGTTTTAATTTGCATTTCCCTGATAATTAGCGATGTGGCACATTTTTTCATGTGCCCTTTGTGTGGGATTAATGGGATTAATACATAAATCAAGTAATAGAAATCAAATGTACAAATATATATGACTTGATTAATTTTCCTACAACTCCTGCTGCATGATCAAAAACAGGATGATTAGAGCCAAAACAGTTCCTACAACTCCTGACCGCCCTCACAGGGTTTCGGTGTCCTTGAGGAGCTGGACTCAAGGTCAGATAATGATTGTGTGTTGATCATGTATTGAACCCCCTACTCAGAACTCTTTGGATGTTTAAGTTCATTTGCTCAATAAATATGAGGAGAGTCTTTTCGGCATTACTCTTGTGCTGTGATGCCTTGAGTCCCCTGGCTGGCCTTTCAGATCTTGGGCATTCCGTCACATTCCCTCCAAATCTGCAGGTCAGAGGCAGGGGAGAGCTGACACCATTGGTCACCTGAATTTCTTTGGAGAATTGTCTGTTCATATCCTCTGCCCATTTTTTAATTGGGTTATTTGCTTTTTGGGTGTTGAGGCATGTGAGTTCTTTATATATTTTGGATGTTAGCCCCTTATCAGGTATGTCGTTTACAAATACATTTTCACATACTCAGGATGCCTTTTTGTTCTGCTGATGGTGTCCTTTGCTGTACAGAAGCTTTTTAGCTTCATGTAGTCCCACTTGTTCATTTTTGCTTTTGTTCCCTTTGCCTGAGGAGATGCAGTCAGGAAAATGTTGCTCATGTTTTTTTTCAGGAGATTTTGCCTGTGTTTTCTTCTAAGAATTTTATGGTTTCATGACTTACATTCAGGTCTTTGATCCATTTTGAGTTTACTTTTGTGCGTGCGGTTAGAAAATAATCCAGTTTCATTCTCTTGCATGTAGCTGTCCAGTTTTGCCAACACCAGTTGTTGAAGAGGCTGTCATTTCCCCATTTTGTATGAAGTAGTTTTTAGTATTTATTTCTCCACTTGAAGATGTTAGAGTAGAACCCAGTGTGCTTTTCCATATTAACGAGTGAGGGCTTTCCCATCCTCAGCAAAAACCTATTCTGTTTACGGGTATTTAACAGCAGAGGCTGAACATTCAGATGCTCATGGGTCCAACAGGTTATGCAAAGGAGTGAGGCAGAGCTGTTATGCCGCACGGAATTATTGGTATCTAGAGAAAGCCTTCCCACCTAAAAGCATTACATACAGGTGTTTTTTGAATAATTGGCCAAACAAAACATTTGCCTGATTCTGTTCAAGGGCTTCAAGTTTGCAATTTTGGCTTTAAGTTTCCTGAAGGTTCATTGTCGTCTTTCTTCCATTATATACATTTCTTCCTTGTTATACACAAGGAAATCTAAAATAGGCAAAGAAAAAGGGTGAGGGGTGAGGACCAAGTCAGCTAGAAAACTGGAAAAATAGAAACAGCATCTTATTTCTCATCTTTTCCGTGTGCTTTTTTTTTTTTCAGGTATTTAGCAAACAATTCAAGACTGCACTATATATATTCTAGTGGGTGTCACTACTAATTTTTTAAATGCTATTTATGTTATACCAAAATAAATACAGTTAAAAATAATTATTCTGGGATTCTTTAAGGGGTTTTGTTAAATCTCTCTAATAAAAATAAAATTTTAAAAGGATGATGGTATCAAAGCTACTTGAAGTTGACTGCAAAACTCTATGGCAGTAGGGGGGCACTCTTGCCAATTTGGCCAAATAGAAATAAACCCAAGGCCATTAATGTGCCAGAAAAGTACATGATTTGGTTTATTATCCTTCATCTTTTTTTAAGCATGGTTTATTGGAGGGACTAACTGAACTTGGAACTTTTGGGTTTCTGCTTCACATTGTTGTAAAGGATCGATTTTTCTTAGTGATAATGTGTCTTTTCAGACAATTGGTGCAACCTTTGTGGCCATGATTGGAGCTGGAATGCTGGTACAATCAATACCGTATGACCAGAGCCCAGGCCCAAAGCATCTTGCTTGGTTACTACATTCTGGTATGTTCTAATTTTAAGTTGTTATTAAACAGCCTTGAATACTACCTTTTTTGGTGGCTCTTCACAATCATAAATGGCTTATACATAATTTAGTTAAACCTCATAGTTACAATTACAGTTTTTGTCATTATTACTGGTTGAATTATTGCCAGATCTCTGCCCTGAAAAATTAATGATTCTAATACAAAGACCATGGACATCCCCAATATACTTGCCTCCTATAACAGTCCAGTACATGCAGAAATTTTCTTCTCTGTCTAATACCAAGATGTTAAATCTGATACACATCACTTGAAAATTGTTCATCTGGTATATCTTTAGAAAAGTTAAAAGCAGTGGAGAAGAGAAGGAGGAGTTAAGATGTGAAAGAATCGGAGTAGAGGTTTTTGCAGTGGAACACTGGGAAAGAGAAGCAAACTTTTGGAAATGCACATTTGTGCCTGATGTGGTTAGCCGGGTCAGTGGGTAGTTCTTAGCTCACAAGTAGCTTGGGCAGGGCAAAGGTTTTCCAGCCTGCTGTTGAAGGGCAGTTTTAATATCCTTTTGTATATGTTGTGATATCTCCCTGAACTATGGAAAGACAAATATTTCAAAATTTTTGACAAAGTGTTTTCCATCTCAAGTATCCAAGGATAGTCTGTCTCTGAACAAAGAACCAATCAGACCTAGAAGCAAAAATGCTTCTTAGGTGCATGTTCTCTACCTCAAAAGAGGATAGATTTTCTAAGCTTTTCCCTGAAACTTACCAGGAAAACAGTTCAAAATGTTAGTAAGTTGGGTCAGTGAAAGGAAATTAGGTTTAAATTTCTGGTGTGAAATACATCATTTATCATCTCCATGGGTTGTCTTTGTTTTGGTAAATAGGAGGCAGCATGACTTTCAAGTCTCTCTCCCACTAAGTTAGGTTATTCAACCATAGATACTCTCTATGGAGCTTTACAGGACAAAACCCTTGTGGTTGGGAGGTAATTGTCTACTGTAATAGTATAGAAAGCTTTTTAAGTACTTACCTTCTCAGTGAAACACCAAAATCCTCACCAGCTGAGTTTTACCATTTTATGTTTTGAATTTTCTGGATTGTATCATTTTGGCCAATGAATACAGTTCTGCACCTATTTTCTATTTTAGACACTGAGTTCCTTGAGGAAAAGGTTCAGTGTCTTTATCTGTGATAAATAGTAGGTACTTAGTCGTTTTTGAATTGAATTAAAATAGCTGTGTAGTTTGAATTTAAGGTTAGAATAAGTAAGCCTTTTTCCCTGGGTGTCTTAGAAAACCTCTTTTAATCTGCTACTACTATAGCACATAAATTAATTGAGTCAATCTATTTTATATATGTTGGGAGGTCCCCTAGACCTTCCATTCATTCAGTGATTTGTAAGAGGGAGTCCCAGGACTTGGCATATGTTTACTACAGTGAAAAGATGCATGACAGGATGTGCAAGGGGAAAAAATGCAGGCAATCTGGAGAAATCCACACACAGGCTTATAGTGCTTTGTCCTTCCTGTAAGGGGCCATACCATTCTGAATGTGAAAAGTGCAGTAACATGTATGATATTTCTGCCTAGGGAAGCCTGGGCGATTCAGTGCCCAGGGTTTTTATTGAGGACGGATCATATCATGTTGGCACCCTCCTAGCAAGTACCAAAACCCAGACTCCCAAAAGGAAAGCAAGCATTCAGCATAACTCGCAGCTTTTGCACAAATAGTCTAACCTTACTGGTTAGCAAAGGTTCAAGTGCCAAGTTCTCAGATTCCAGCCAAGGACTAACCTTGCAAACAGTGTTTGTAAAGATAGCCTTAAGCCTGCTGTGTTAACCTTTTTCTGCATTGTATGAATGCCAGATATTTCCTTTTGTTCAGAATTGTTGTATTCTTCAGAAACATCTTTGGAAGCTGTGTGTGCAGGCATTATTAACATGTCCATTTTATAGATCAGAAAGCTAAAACTGGGTGAGATCACACACTAGGAAGTGCCAAAGTCCAGACTTTGTTTCTTCAAGTCCAATATTCTGTCCACTCCTTTATCTACTAACATGATTGAGATGAGACTCAAAGGGGGGTTGGATGACCCAAGGGCAACCACTCACAGTGTCACAGGGTTATGCAAGCTGGCTTTTGAAAGTATTAACATCCCTATACATGACATTTTTCATCCAAGTATTTAGCACCATGCAGAAAACAGCTGTGGTCTCAGGACTAAATAATACTTTATAGGAATTACTAAAATGCTCATTGAAAAATGATTCTAATTGTGTTCTCCACCCCCCCCCCCGCCACCAACTTTCTGAGATAAAATTGACACATAATATTGTGTAAGTTTAAGCTCTATGATATGTTGATTTGATATATTTGTATACTCAAAATGATTACTGCTATAGCATTAGCTAATACCTCCATTCCATATTTACCATTTCTTTTTTGTGGTAAGATCATTTAAGATCTACACTTTTAGCAACATTCAGAAGTATGATACAGTATTATTTGCTATAATCACTATGCTGTACATTAGATCCTCAGACTTGTTAATCACCTAACAGGAAGTTTACCCTTTAACCAATGTCTCCCCATTCCCCACCCCCACCAGTCTCTGGTAACCACCATTCTACTCTGTTTCTCGGAGTTTGACTTTTTAGATTTCACATGCAAGTGTGAGAGATCATACGGTACTCACCTTTCTCTGTCTGACTTAATTTTTCATAATTAAGGCCCGTCCATTTTATCAAAAGTGAGAGGATTTCATGCTTCTTTATGGCTGAAAAATATTCCATTGTGTGTATGTATATATATATATATATAGACGTAGATATATATATACCACATCTATCCATTCTTCCATTGACAGACACTTCGGTTATTTGCGTATCTTAGCTATTGGGAGTAATGCTGCAGAGAACCTGGGGAGGGCAGGTATCTTCCTGATATATCCAATGAGATCCTGATTTCAGTTCCTTCGGGCTAGAAGTGGAATTGCTGGATTATATGGTAGTACTAATTTCAGTTTTTGAGATACCTGTATACTTGTTTTCCACAGTGGCTGTACCAATTTGCTGAATGCCAGTTTTCATTCAGATAATAATGTTGAGCTATTCTTACTAGTTTTATTTATTTATTCATTTATTTGATTAAGGTATCATTGATATATACCCTTATGAAGCTTTCACATGAAAAACAATCCTTGTTTTATAACATATTTGTCCTTAAGCAGCAAACATTTGTTACCTTTTGTATCATTGAAAAATCTCTGAATAATATCCTTAAAAGTTTTGCTAAAAATTTTTCTGTCAGTTGTAAAACTGATGGTAATCCTATTAGAAATAGGATTAGAAATGTCAAAGAGGAATTTTTGTCCAGTATCTTCCCTAGAGCAAAAAATATTTTAAAATTATTCATCATTGTGAGGTGCAATGTATCTTACTACTTGATCTAGAAATGTTCACGCTGGAAAAACAGATACACTAAAATTGAAATTTCAGGATGAAGATAGCTCCACCTATTCCATGAGTTTAAACTGTGCACATTTAATGTTTAAAAGAGAAACTTGTGTACTCAACGCTGAAATAATGCCTTATCTAAGATTTATTTTTTAATAAGGATTTTTGTTCACCTTTGCTAATTGAATTAATAATACTTTTCATAATTTTTATGAACATGTTTATATCTGACAACTAAAAGTACTTTATAAGAGCTGTGTTAACATTCCCTATTACACAAGATAACACCAGTGTCTGTCCTTGAACCACTAGTCACTTCTCAGTGTCTTTGAATCCAATGCTGTTTTGTTCCTTCTGTTTTGCTTTGTTTTTATATTGCACAAGTTAAGTGAAATCATGTGGTATTTGTCTTTCTCTGCCTGGCTTATTTCACTGAGCATAATACCCTCTGGGTCCATCCATGTTGTTGCGAATGGCAGGATTTCTTTTCTTTTTATGGCTGAATAATATTCATTTGTGTAGGCTGAATAATATTCATTGTGTATATGTACCACATTTTCTTTATCCATTCATCTATTGATGGACACTTAGGTTGTTCCCACATCTTGGCTATTGCAAACAGTGCAGCAATAAACAGGGGTGCATATATATCTTTTCAAATAAGGGATTTTGTTTTTTTTGGGGGCAGATTCCAAGGAGTGGAATTACTTGGTCAAATGGGGCTTCTATTTTTAGTTTTTTGAGAAACCTCCATACTGCTTTCCACAGTCGTGGCACCAATTTACATTCCCACCAACAGTATAGGAGGGTTCCTATAGCTCCTCACCCTTACCAGCATTTGTTATTTCTTATCTTTTGGATAGTGGCCATTTTAACTGGTGTGAGGTGATATCTCATTGAATTTTTTATTTGCATTTCCCTGATGATTAGTGATGTGGAGCATATTTCCATGTGCCTCTTAGCCATCTGTATTTCTTTGGAGAAGTGTCTATTCAGGTCCTTCACCCATTTTTTGAGCAGATTGTTTTTTGGGTATTGAGGCATGAAGTTCCTACATTTTAAGATTAGCACTATACACTCATTCTCTCATTTGTTCCTTTTTGGCAGCAGTAGGTTTGACCTTGAGTAAGTCATTTCAAGCCTTTTTATCTCAATTTTTTAAAATATGAGTATTGTTATAAAGACTAGTGGTGGACTCATATCCAAATAATGAACTACATAGAATTGACAAAGTTACTAAAATGCAAAAATGATGTTTGTGCTTATAAGTTATGACTCCTTGACTAGGAAGAGAGTTAAACTGTCGTGATTTGGAATTTGGACACCCAGAAATTTGGGTTATGGAATTTTGGGGGTTAGTGTTAAAGTAAGGAAAAGACTTTTTGTAATCTTACTGTTTAACAGTAAGGTATGATAAGTTCAGATGGCATGTTTGTTAGCAGTGGCATTTTCCCTTTGGTTATTATTTAGTAAATACTTAACTGGCAACTTGCTCTTTCTCCAGGTGTGATGGGTGCAGTGGCAGCTCCTCTGACGGTATTAGGGGGGCCTCTTCTCATCAGAGCTGCATGGTACACAGCAGGCATTGTGGGAGGCCTCTCCACTGTGGCCATGTGCGCACCAAGTGAGAAGTTTCTGAACATGGGCGCACCCCTGGGAGTTGGCCTGGGTCTCGTCTTTGTGTCCTCACTGGGTAAGCCACTGTGCTTTGACATGTGCTTGTTGGTCCCTGGTGTCCTAAAATCATTCAATGCACTCAGGTATCCTAATGGAAAGAATTCATTAAGAGTCATTTTTAAAAGTTGTTTAAAAGATATAATTTGACCAGATTTTCTTATTTGGCATTGTGATAAGCCATTATTGCCATTATTATATCAAACACATCTAAATTGGGAAAGTTGGTCTGGAAAACATGAAAATTGGTCAGATGCAAGAGCCTTCCTGTAGTGTTTGTAAGTGACCCACTGCAGGACTGTCAGCACAGGTTTTGAACTGGATGTCAATAAAATGAGACAGTACATATACTCATGTGTTTTCTTATGTGTGTAGTATAATAAAGAATTTTCTTTTAAGTAATTTTAATTATAAATCCAGTTACAAAAAAGTCCTTTAAAAACAAAAAACAATTTTTTTCCCATTTGATTTCAGGATCTCTGTTTCTTCCACCTACCACTGTGGCTGGTGTCACTCTGTACTCAGTGGCAATTTATGGTGGATTAGCTCTTTTCAGCATGTTCCTTCTATATGATACACAGAAAGTAATCAAGCGTGCAGAGGTAGTACCAATGTATGGAGTTCAAAAATACGACCCCATCAATTCGTAAGTAGTCTTTCATGTCTTTCCTTAGTCACATAGGAGGACACTTCTGTATTTTGGCCGATTTTGCTTTATGACTGTGTTAGTGTCCTAGGGCTGTGTTAACAAATTATACAAACTGGGTGGTTTAAAATATCAGAAATGTATTCCCTCACAGTTCTGGAGACTAGAAGTCTGAAATCAAGGTGTCTTCAGGGTTCATACCTCGTGAGATCTCTAAGGGAGAATCTATCCCATGCCTGTCATCTAGTTTCTTGTTATGGTAGCAGTCCTTGGCATTCCTTGGCTTGTAGATACAGCACTCCAGTCTCTGCCTATGTCTTCACACAGCATTTTCCCTGGGTGTCAGACTCTTTTCTTACAAGGACACCAGTCATACTGGATTAAGGTACTACAGTATAAGCTCATCTTAATTCACATCTCAGTTATATTTGCAAAGGCCCTTTTCTCAAATAAGGTCATAATCACAGGTGACAGAGATTAGAACTGAAACATATGTTTTTAATTCAACCAAACAATGTCTGTTGAATTTTACTTATTTCTGTTCTGTTTGGTCTATGGATCCACAGGACACTTGATTATATTGCAGCTGACCATAATAGTTAGGTATCTGTTTAATTAAATCAGAATATTTTATTAGCCTTATGGTATGCTTTCTGGTCAGTTTTTTTTTTAGTAATTTATATTTAACAGATTTTAAAAGTGAAGAAAAGGTATGAGTCAAGTATTACTTGTTGGAAAGTGTATATAACTGACTTGGAAGTTTTAGTAGGAAAGCCTACTTCATTAAAAATTGGAAACACCTCACTATGAAAATTCCAATTTGAAGATACTCAACTTCAGCTGATATTAAGTGTTACATAATAATGCTTTTTTTCTTTTCTTGGCCTTTCCACCACAGTATGTTATTTTATGTAAATAATTTTCTTGAGTTTCATGGTGTCTATCACATTTTCTAAAGCAATTTATTTTTTGTTCTTTTAAAATTAAAACAATGTAATGGTTTTTTTTTTAATGTTGCTATAACACAAATTTGTAGCAGTTTTCTTTGGTTGGGGCATTGGTATTGAGGGGGGTAGAGTATATTATATTTAAAGATGCCAGACTTGGTCTGACAAGTTTTGGGAAAGGTGTTTCTTTGGTTTTGCTTTGATTATTTCATTGTCTATCACTCAGGGTTGTTTTTCTTTTTTTCTTTATCTTGGTAAGACATTATATTCATAGTGGAATTTCAGAGGATAGAATAATGATTTTTAAAACTGTCCTTTAACATTTAAAAGATTAATCTGCCAGAAGAAAATCTTGACTATTTCTAGTGCAGGACTTCTTTAGTTGACATTTTTTTTTTTAATTTCCATTTCATACACCTAGGGCAAATAACCAGTGTTCTTCTTCTTCTTTCCTAGGTTAAGAAATAGTTCTTATCTTTGTTATTAGAATTAAATGATACATAATGGACATAATTTTCTTTCCTAGGATGCTGGGAATCTACATGGATACACTAAACATATTTATGCGAGTTGCCAGTATTCTAGCAACTGGAGGCAACAGAAAGAAGTGAAATGATTCAGCTTCTGACTCCTTTAAAAAATCAGATACCTTTCTTATTGAATAAGGTCAGATATTCATTAAATAGGTGATACAAGCATCTTTTGTTGACGTTTAGAAGATAAGAACTTGTCACCACCATGTTTCAAATGTTCTGGTAATGTGATGCTTCGGGTCTCCTTTTTCTTCTCAAGAATAAATTGAGTGGTTCTCTTCCAAATAAGCACATACATTTCCATTTTGCATGTTTGAGTAATTCTAAAATGTTTTAATGAATGTGAAAACTAAGGTTTGTATTGTGAAACATTAAGTGTTCTATTTTAAAATGTATTTGTTTAAGGGAAAATTAGCAAACTGTGTTTACCTGCATAGTTTTTGAAATGCAGAGTGTTAACAAGTTAATGTCCTAAGTGATACAGAGGTTTGGTAAAGTGACCAGAGAGAAGTAAAGGTTCACCTGAAATCTTTCTTTGAATACTTAGCCCTTGTGTGATTGGTGGTTAGCCAGTGAGAGGGTCTGGCTGTTTGGAAGCAAACAAGTCAGCTTTGTTTTTGATATTTGTCTGCTTAACATACCAAAGCATTGAGCATAAAACAAAGACATGGGTGGTTCATTCTCCTACTGTTCCTTCTCAGTGTTCTCTTTATGACATAGATGTGGTCATATTTGGTTTCTCATTATTTGACATTGTTAGGACAGTCCAGAATGTATTATGTTCTACGGAGAATTCCTAATATATATATATATATATACACACACATATACATATATAAATGTGTGTAAGTTTTACTTTTGAGTCTTCTGAATAAAATATCCTTAAAACTAATCTCAGGATAAAATGTGCAAGGCATGAAAGTTGTTGCATTTCTAAGTACAAAAACAGTATGTTCAGAATCTGGGTTTTTTTTGCATATTTATTGAACTTTTAAATAGAATACATGCTTGCCTTTCCATCTTTTCAAGCTCTGATGCTTTTATCAGAAAAACTCTTCAGACTTGTTTTCTTACGTTCCTTCTCAGACTAAGCACTAAAAAAGAAGGCAAAGCCAGCTTTCTTCATAAGCTGTATCATTCAAAAACATGCTTTATTTTTGTTCCTCCTAGCAGAATTTTCCTTATCTCTTACACAGACCACTACTTAACTCCCTTGTGACATTTGTAAGTTTTTTTATAATGGAAGAGTTGTTTTTGGAAGTTTTTAATGAAGTGTATATGATTATTGAGACTATTGGTGTTTTTGACAAATACTTACTACAGTGATCCAGAAATAACTATTCTAACCACCTCAAATTACATAGGATGCTTATTTCTGAAATAAAGGTTCTAACCAGATGGCGACTGTTCTGTGATTTTTCCCAGCTGAACCATCTGCATACCATCTAAGGGATTTGTTCAAGAAAGCAGCTTAAGCTCTTACTGATACAGTCTGTATAGTACAGTGCCATTATCGCCATGGTACGTAGAACTAGACTGCCTTTATTTGAACACCAGCTCTTCCACTTACTTCTTAGGTGGCTTTGGGAAAATTGCTTGACCTTTCAGTGCCCATTTCCTCATCTTAAAATAAAGATGACAGAACCTACCTCATAGGGTTGAGGAGAATGTGTGGATACTTGGTAAAAACTCTCTTGAGTTTCAGCTGCTGCTGCTGGTTTGTTGGGGAACTTTTTACCTAAGAAAAATTTAAGTACCAAAATTACATTTTTCCCCTTCTCTACTTTACTACCTGTACAAAAGATTATGTCCTTATATTTGGATGGTATCACACACAAAAACAAAATGATAATTTCAACAGTGGGTATGAGGCAGAAGCTTATCCAGTAAATTAAGATACGTTGTTTTTTTTTAATTTAATGACAGAATTTTGTTACAGCACTTTTCTGACTTTGCTAAGACTTTTTAATATAAAAAATGAGTTATATAAAATGTGAATACTTAATAAGGTACTACAACATATCTAAAGTGATAACAAAAAAAAAATCACAGTTCCTTGGCTCCTGTTAACATACCCCTGGGGATTTTTTCCTTCTGTCACTCACAAGGAAGAGTGAAAACCTGCAAATTGGTAGGCTTTAAGCAAAAGAGAAAAAAAAATCCATTTCCAGTTTTGTAAAACATCATCCAAAGTGTTAAAGGATAACTGAGATATGTGGATAAAAATAAAGATCCTTTTGGTTTGCTTAGAATGGAATCTAATGAACATTCAGTAAAACAGCATGCATGTATCAGGCACCATACTAGCAGAACCCAGGGGAGCCAATGAGCAAAAATTGCCTTCTAAAGTATAGTAACCCTGTATAAAAACCATATAGTCCATTGTGATAGTGTCGTAAGTGAACAAAGTAATGTTACTGAGTCCAAGCTCATGCCATTTGGTGCACAACATGCAGCAAGTTGAGAGACAAGATGTTGGGGCAAGGAAAGACTACTCGGAAAGCCAGGAGACCAAGAAGGTGTTAAACTCGTCCTAAAGCACCATCTTAACTCAGGTTGCTTGCAAGCTGCTTTTATGCGAGGGAAGGGGGAGCAGTTGGGGAAGAAGGTTAGGCGGCCCCTGAAGGCTGCAGGCACCTGGCCACCAGCAAGGGCCTGAGGAGAGCTGAGTAACTGCGTGTCCTTGGTTAGTTGACTCTCATCAACCTAGTTCTCGTCGTCATGTTCCTAGAAATCTTTGGCAGGGCAATCATTATGTTCATATGTATTTCCCTATCTCTTGGAAGAGGTAAGCTTCAGGTAAGTCGCTATTTGCAGAATTCTTGAACTATCAGCAATAATCCTTTCGATGATCTACAAGCCTGTAATGCAGCACTGAGTGGAGCCCTTTTTTCACCTTTTCATCCCAGAAGTTAAGGCAGCAAAGGAGACAAATATAGTACGGGAACAGATCATGACACTTTTCACTTGGTTAGAATAACTTTACAAGGTACCCCTTGAGTAAGTCTTCCAAGAGTAAATAGGCTAGGGTAGAAGCATGAAGATATGCTGGTGATAACCACAGTTGAACTTACTGCATCTTGTGTGCCAAGCGTTACATTACTCTGAGGAAGGCATTTTGTACCCCTGTTCTGTTGAATACACTGAAGCCCACGAATCTGATTTCACAAGGTGACAGTGGCTGGAACGAAGATAGTGGTAGAGTTGAACATCCTAACTCAGTTACACTGGAAAATTAATGATTGATGTCATTGGGCTGAAATCCTGTTTGAAAATAAAAATCACTACAAATTAACTAGGTTGAAAATAATGAAAATACCTAGAGATTAGAATTTTAGTGTTTATCAGAAGAGGTTAATGTGTGTGTGGAGCATAAAGGGTAATCATGTTTTACTTCCCCAGATTTTATTACCCAGAAGCTCCTCTTCTGTGTTAACCCAATTCACCTGGAACTACAGATAAAACCATTTTTTAAAGTCGATGCAGTCAGTAAGATGGGATCCTCCCTGAGTACTCAATTTAAGTAGCACTCAAAATGGAAGCCATTTCTCAGGAAAATATATGAAAGCTATCACCTTGAGGACCTTGTCTTTTGTGAAGCAGGAGCATTTTGTGCCAGAAGCAAAGATGAAAATTAGAAGTCTGATAAGAGGGGTTTTCCCTCAGCCCCAGCATTCCATTCTGTGTCACACAGCTTGTACTGGCTCCTCACCTAGCGAGTGTCAGTCCACCTAAGGGGCCCTTTCAGCCTTCCACCTTAAACTGAGAGGTTGATCGGTGGTGAGGAAGTTGCAACTTCACTGGCTGCACTTAAATGCCTTGGGCATTGTGGCTACACCCCGAAATACACGGCGGATATTTCTGGCAGGACAAAACATTAATTCTCACAATTGGGCACACAAGTTTAGGAACTTGAACACTTTAAACAGGTGCCTTCCATTGAGCACTTTGTAAAGGCTGCCAAATCACCTGTAAGTCTGTCAGCTAGCCATCATTCCTCCAGGCTAGCCTTCATGTGCCTGAAAACGAGGACTGCTCACCAGTGCACCCCAAGTTTTATATAGCATCACAGAGTTCAGTGAAGTGTTCATATGACAATCTCATAGGAACAGTGTTAATGTCTTAGTTTTATTTGCTTAATAGTCATGTTACCTCATTCTAAGATACAATATTTTTCACACTTCATTTCTAAAATGTGTGTTTGATTTTTTTTTTTGGCAAAACTATATTAGTGTATCTTAAAATCAGGAAGAAGTATTTTCCAGTGGTTGGTTTTCCATTTCTAATAGTCATGTAAGAACAGGTATCTGAGGGATTATTTTAATAATTGGCTGTAGCAACTTTTACTGATGATTCAAAAGGAATCTTCCGCAAGAGAGCAAAAACCTGGCCCCACCCAGTTATGTACTTAATTCTGGCTGAATAGACTGATTCCCAGCAATGCAGAATGACTTCTGAGCAAGAGGACCAGTGGAAGTTGAGAAAGTGTCAGCAGTTTGGTATGACCTGAGTGTCCGTGAGGAGAGTAAAAGGTGTAGTAGCTTTGCTCAGTTTGGTACTCCTTGAAGGAATTAATATTTAGCACCAGCGGTTGGAGGTCAACAAGGATGAATGACACCCTTCCTGACCTGCCATAGCAGCCTGGCTTGAAACATCTCAGTCTGTAAGAGCATCTAATGGACAGAGGCAGTCAATGGTAGCCAGGAGTGAGCTAATGGAGGAAGGCTGCAGGCCCTGCGGACCTTTGGAAGTGAATGCTGAGGCAGAAGCCCTTGCTGTGAAGGGGGGAGAGCAGGAGGATTTTTTTTTTTAATTTTGACAGATTCCACTCAATTACTTTTTTTTTATTAAGGTATCATTGATGTACATTCTTAAGAAGGTTCCACATGAAAACCTGTAGTTACTACATTCACCCATATTATCAAGTCCCACCCCCACCCCATTGCAGTCACTGTCCATCAGTGTAGTAAGGTGCCACAGAGTCATTACTTGTCTTCTCTGTGCTACACTGTTTCCCCATGACTCCCCCCACACACCATGTGCAATAATCATAATACCACTCAATCCCCTTCTCCCACCCTCCCCTACACCTCTCTGGTAACTGCTAGTCTTTTCTTGGAGTCTGTGAGTCTGCTGCTGTTTTGTTCTTTCAGTTTTGCTTTGTTATACTCCACAAACTAGTGAAATCTTTTGGTATTTGTCTTTCTCCACCTGGCTTATTTCACTGAGCGTAATATCCTCCAGCTCCATCCATGTTGCTGCAAATGGTAGGATTTGTTTCTTATGGCTGAATAGTATTCCATTGTGTATATGTACTACATCTTCTTTATCCATTCATCTACTGGTGGACACTTAGGTTGCTTCCATATCTTGGCTATTGTAAATAGTGCTGTAATAAACATAGGGGTGCAGATGTCTTTTTGAATCTGAGAACTTACATTCTTTGGGTAAATTCCTAGGAGTGGAATTCTGAGGTCAAATGGTATTTCTATTTTTAGTTTTTTGAGGAACCTCCATATTGCTTTCCACAATGGTTGAACTAGTTTACATTGGCACCAGCAGTGTAGGAGGGTTCCCCTTTCTCCACATCCTCACCAGCATTTGTTCCTAATCTTTTCGATGTTGGCCATCCTATCTGTTGTAAGGTGATATCTCAATGGAATTTGCATTTCCCTGATAATTAGCGATGTGGAGCATCTTTTCATGTGCCTGTTGGCCATCTGAATTTCTTCTTTGGAGAAGTGTCTGTTCATATCCTCCGCCCATTTTTTAATTGGGTTATTTGCTTTAAGAGTGTCGAGGTGTGTGAGTTCTTTATATATTTTGGATATTAGCCCCTTGTTGGATATGTCATTTACAAATATATTCTCTGTAGAGGGGATCTTATGGCCTTACCCAACAGCCTTCATCTTCATAAGTCTCTTAAGAGATGAAGACAACAGATTCTTATTAGGCACTCCATTAGATACCAAGTAGTTAAGATGTGAGAAACAGCAACAGATGACTCAAGGTAATTATGAAGAATTCTATGTAGAAACTACAAAAGCGTCATCCAGACTGACCTCTACAGGACTTCAGACAAAGGGCATCTGTGCCAAGTGCCCACAAGAACACAGGTGTCCTCTGCATACCAGCACAGAAGGGTTGATGGCCAAAGGGGGCTCCCTGCTTAGGTAGGAAGTGGGATGTCTGGGGCAGGCCCCACTTGCAGCAGCATGGGAAATACCCTGACCAGCTTTGCAGAGAACCCCGCCTTCTCTGCCTGCAAACAATGTGTGTGTGACTCTGCTTGTGTGCTCAAAAATCAAATCATCTTGCCCTTACCATACCAGGTGCATCAGAAAAGATGGGAGTATGATCACCTACCTCATTAAAGTAGGAAAGTCATTTTAAAATGTAGGAGAAATTACGGCAAGACTTTCACTGTGGACTGGCAGAAGAAAAATGGGCATATGGTGGGAAATGGGGTGTTTGGTGTCTTGTTCAGTGTATTATTATAGCTTTCCCTAAGTAATTTTTTAAAAAGGAAAGTATTTGGAGGAAATACATTGAAACACTTTCAAAGAAGCTCTTCCGATTTGGGGAACTTAGTGGAAAGACGTGGGAAAGTAGAACTACTCTCCACCCTGGGGTCTTAGGAACAGCTCATCTCTGAGTAGAACTGAACCCAGAGCCTTGAGGTCTCTGTAGCCCTTACATGCTGTGTCTACAATGACATCAGGGTTCAAGTTTACCCCAGGACTGCAGAGCCCTGGCTGCACCTTACATATCCACCCTGTCCTGGTGGTGATAGATGTGTGGGTGAAAATAAGGAAGGATGCCACCTCTCTTCTGGGAAGCCTGCTGCCAAGCCTGCAAGACAGAACAGACGCTGACAAACAGGATCTATCCCAGCCCTGCCTGCCGTTCTCCAGCTCCGAGCACTGGCGAAAGCGGGAAACCTTGGTGTCCCCTTCCTCCTCCTGCCCACTGCTCCACTGGTCCCCTCTCCCTTCCTCAGCATTCACATTTGTAACTGGATCTGCTGTCAGACCTGAATTTCATTGTAGTTCCTTTTTTCTTTTACCTTGAAATGTGGCAAGAGAAGGCAGTTGTTTCACATTAAAGTAGCATCCATCCTTGAGCACAAGTGAGAGGTTGGTATTTTTGGGACACAGGTCACTGTTGATAAAGGGAGGGAAAGCTATATGTGTCCCACTTTCACAATTGACCATATAATATAGCAAAGACTATTTTCTTATAGCATAGCACTTTAGCATTACTCTTTCATCAAAAGGATCTGTTTCCAGTTTCAGCTAGTTTTACTAAGGAACAGAGAAATTGAGCAACTGTCCAGTGTCACACGGTTAAACCATGGCAGAGCTCTGGTTAGAGCCTTGATCATGTAGGTTTAGACCCTGTGATTTTAGCAGGTGTAGGGAAGGTAAGGAGACAGAATTTGAAGACCAGAGTTCCTCAGTTTCCCACTCCAAGCTGAAATCACGGGGCAGGTGTATGGGCGTGGGGACAGAAGGCCAGGAACTCCAGAGAGAGTGAGCAAAGGACCCAAAACTGAAAGACTCTTTCCCTTACAGACTCAGATGTGGTGGCTTCACAGATGTTCCAGCACCAACACTGAATGGTCACAGGATAGAAAAAAGTGCCTCGTAGTCTCCTGGGTGTCTTTGTGGCATGGAGGAGGTGATATTCTGGCATGACCCACGTGGAGGAGCCCACAGGCCTGCTGGCGGCCACCATGGCAAGGCTAGGTAGCGCAGCAGGGGGAAGGCAGATGGGAATAATAGCACGATGTTGCACAGCGTCATTGAGAACCAAGAGGACCAGCGAGGGCAGGGGGGAGAGGCACAGACCCCTACTTAGCAGCCTTGATCCCAGAAGCACAACTACCAGAGGCAGGCAAGATGCAGTGGGCTGGAGGCTTATGAGGAAGTTTAGATAAATTGTAAAAAAAGAAAAAGAAAAAGAGGAAGCTATTGGTTTATTGTCATATGACTTGGATGATATATAGGTTAAATATCCATATTATGGGTTATTTTCAACTACTCGTGAGCTCTCATGAAACCAGCACCTGGAAAGAACCTCAGCTTTGAAGTCAGACAGACCTGGTTCTGTGAGAAGTTGCTGTGACATTTTCTGTGAGGTGAAGGAACCACTTTCCCTTGTTGCAGATGGAAATTAAATGCTTCTCTGAGGTGGGGTGGGAATCAAATAAGACAGTTGAAGAGTCACAGTGGAGTCTGGCCCCTCCCTCTATAATAAACTGACCTGCAATTTGCAAGGCAAATAAAGGTGGGAGAGTCATTTCTGATCAAGTTCAGGGTCCATAAAACATGCTTTGAAGAAGACTGTGATGACCAAGAATAAGTGTGGGACTCTGGCCAATACTTCTCTATCCGTAAAGGGTGGGGACACTAAAGGCGTTTTGCTAACCGGCCTTAGAAATCACAAATTCGACTTGTGAAATCTTTCTTCCTTGTAAATTTCCCATGTGTTAGGCATGTCTCTGAAGACTTTCTCTCAGGAAGTCTGCCAACTATCCAAATCATCTTTGGAAATTATTCAAAGCCTCGAATTTGATTATTTTTGTACCCAAACTGCAAGTGCTTAAAACTAACAGGTGTTCCTGTTAAAATACTTCTCATTTTCACCTCTCAACTCAACTTGAGACTTCAAATATTCTGAAAAGCTAGAGGTGTTTCTCCTTTTTTAAAATAAGAAGTTGACAGCTATCGCTGAAATGTTAAAAAAAGCAGGTGAAAATCTATGAACAGTGATTGTCTCTGGGAAGCGGGGTTTGGGGTGCAACTTAACTTTATACCCTGTATTATTTAAATTAGTGTGGGCATGGATTGCTTCAGTAGCTTTTTATAAGCATATAAAAAGCTGATAGAATTCTGACATCTGAATCTTTTTCCCCTTAAACATATGATCCCAGCAACATCTGGACATCTATGAATCATGTATAAGGAACAGGGCCCCTATGTAGCCAGTTCTTCCTGCACTTAGCTGTGCAGTGCCTGTACAGCTCTGTTTCGTGGTGGTGAGAAACCTGAAGTCTCTTTCTGACTGTGGCTGAGTGTCTGAGGGTCCTGAGACAATAACCTCAAGTCTTGGCTTAGTGGCACAGTGGATCCATATGAACTATTCAGTAGCCTGAGAGTCTCTCCTCATTTCTGCAGCAGTGCTAAGCAGAATTCAATGTAAGATTTGGCCTAATCTCTGCCCCTTCTGCCAGGTAAGTGGCACTTTTTCCCTCTGATGATTGTTTGCCAAAAGCAAAAAGGAACCAAGTCAACCCAAATAGTAGGTGTTATAACAGGGAACAGGTTAGTGGCAGTCAAAGGTACACCGTTGCCCAGAGAACTCAATGGGGGCACCCCAAATGGCCGTTGATAAAAATAGTGGTACTAGTCCACCATAGTGGACCATGGGTGTAATCCTAATCTCAGGAAGCATCTTGAGGAAATGTCGCTGAGTTTATGGACACTGTGGTGGCTGGAAAATGCAGCCACTCTCTTTCTGACTCTCCTTCCAACAGTGGTACCCCCATATCTGTCCAGGGATGCAGCTCTGGAGTTGCCCCTCATAGATCCCCAGGGCCTTCCTGACCATACCCCCTGCCATGACCACTACCTGCTCAACATAACCATCAGGATTCAGGGCACAGTTTGGAAAGGAATCAGGCTGGGGCCGGGTAGGTGACTAATAGTATGACACATGGTCCTTAAGCTCAGTGGCCCCAACTAGTTTCTTTGTGTAGACTGGTGTTAAGGTTTTTGTAAAGGTATGAGAGTACACAGGCTGACTCTCAAAATATCCCCTGGCCACTGATTTGCTCACCAAGCTGTCTGAGCATGTGCTCTGAACTGTATCTCTAATTTCTAGCAAGAGAGGAGTGCTAGGGAAGCATGCCGGCCTGTCTCAGGTAGCAGGCTTGTCTGAAGTGGCTTCTGGGAATCAGGGAGATCCTGGAGGGCTGAACCAGATAATGACATCTTCTCACACGCCCTTTGAGGCTGGAAACCAGAGCAAGTTCCTTGGTGAGAAGGGCACACTTATTAAGGCAAAGGACAGATGGACATGATACACAAGCACAAATGCAAAATCTGTGTATCTGCACAGCTGTCCCACCAACAAAGGTTCCCCAAGGCTAGGCAGTGTTTTCCATGTCCCCTGGGCCAAGCACAGGGCCTCCATAGAATGTGCCCAGTGACTGGGGGAAGACTGGGCATCCTGCAACTACTGGCAGATGCTTCCCCCTGCCCTTGTAGGGTGTTCTCCTGTGCACCTTGGCTCAGTGATCCTGTACCTGAAGTACCCTTTTGTTTTGTCTTAAACACCCATCAAGGTCCAGCTGCAGCCCCACCGTCTTACAGCTATATCAGCATCCTCCTTACAGCACATGGTTTCTCACACATGTCCTCATTCAGGCTGTGAGAGAGGTAGCATTGTCCATTTCACAAATGGGAAGGAGACTCAGACTTTGAAGGGTAAGTTCAAGGTCATGCTGCTGATATGTGGCAGAGCAAGGATTCAAAACCAGTTTGTATAATTCCAGGCTGTCTGCTCCATGCATTTCACCCATTGCTTGAGACTGTTCCCTGAGGCTTGCAAATTTTTATGGTCTTTCTCCCATAGACAGGCTCTTCGGGTACTGCTAACAACACACATAACAGGAATGAGCAGGAAGACCTGTATTCGCTGGAATTATTACTGACACTATAAGTTAACATTCAACTCTGGAAAGTGGCTCTTTCCTTCTCTGACAACTAAGGCATGTGCTGGGAGCTCCCAGAGCTGGGCATTTACAGCTCTGTGTGTTACAGTTCACAAATCTTCTCAACTTCTCAAACAGCTGGGGTTTTTTCCTCTTGGGAGGGGCTGACTCTACCCTTTATGAAAATTCCAAGGTTGCTGGTGCCCTGCCCATTGGGAAACACCTCCCTCTGTCACTCTATAAGTGCCTGAGTTTATCCCAAGAGAGGACTTCTGCCACACAGCTGCCTCCCAAGGACATGAGTTCCAGCCACCCCGCCATGAGGTTTCTTGTCCTCTCCAGCCTGCTCTGCATCTTGCTTCTCTGCTTCTCCCTCCTATCCGTGGAAGGTAGGGGCTCTCCGCCAACATGCTGACCCCTGAGCAGGGATTCCTGTGTCTGGGAAGGTTGGAATCAGGAAATGTTTGCTGGCAGGCCCTGACAAGCAGTCCTGGGCCTGGAGAGACAGGCTCTCACGGTGCTACTCACAACCTGGGTGACACCTCTACCTACAGTGGCAGCACCAAGGGGTGGTTGGGGGGCTTTCGGCCCCAGAAGCTCCACCCACTCCCCAAACACACACACAAGCTAAGTAAAAGCAGCGTGGTTACCAAGCAAACACGCAACCTCTAGCTGGATTGATTCTTGCTCCTGAGCCCAACCTAGCTAGAGATTCTGGAGCCACTGTATTGTGCTAGTACTGTACTTGGAGTGCAGTGAATTGGTGTTGATGAATGAACAGATTAGTTAGCAGACTATCTGAGTCTAAACATCCTCAAAGTGCATGCACAGTAAATGCTGGCAGCAGATGGGATGAATGTGGGATGGAGGGGGTCATTGTGTGTTTAGAAGTAGAGGAGATGGTCCTTGTACTTCTGTGCATAGGAATATTTACCTCTTATGCCTTTATTGATTCAGATAGTTGAGTATTTTGAACTTTTTCTCTTGTCTAACCCTCTAGAAGTTGCCTACTTTTATTTTTTATTTTAGCAGTTAATGGTTATTTTAACACTTACTGGAGTTGAGGATATAGACATATATATGCACACATATATGTATATATATGTGGGGTGAAAACACCCCTATTTCATGACTCAAGAATAGGTATGTTCAGTATTTTATTTCTTTTCAGTATTGCATGCAAGTGTTTTTTGTAATTGATCTCTATATGTTCAATATTGTATCTTTTTATTTATCACTGTATTATTATAATCACCAAAAATGCTTATGACTAACATTATTCTGGAAGCATTTACACCAGAATGCCAACAGCAATCACCTCTGAGCAGTAGGTTTTAGGAAGTATTTGTTTTCTAAAATTTCTGCAATGAACATTGCTTTGCTGCATATAGAATGTGGAAAACAGTGATCAGAATTCCTCATAAGCACAGTCTATTGCAATGCAATTTATCAGACCTCTATTTTTGGACGAGTTAGAGTTGCTTAATGCCAATGCGTATTCAAAAGATGAATACCTTTCCCCATAAAGTTTCCTACCCATTTAGGAGTATCTCTAGCAGATTCTACAAAATGTTATTATTTAACTAATATTTTTAGATATAATATGCCATTGAGTGAATATGCTATGATGAATTTATGTGCTTAGACATCTAGATTGTTCACAACTTTGCACTATATTAAGTATGTGGTAAAAAGCCTATGTGTACATAGAACATTTCCTATATTTAGGATTATTTTCTTAGGCTTGATTGCCAAGGGAGAATTACTGTGTCAAAGGACATAGACACTTCTGAGTGACTGTTCTGAATTGTTTCTCAGACAGAAACATGAGGAATATATATTCTAAGGATAGAGTATCTCCACACATTGACATTGTTATTTCTGAAAAATAACTCACTTCAAGCCTCCCGTTTCCCTGTCTCCTCTCATAGCCTGGCCCAACCTGAGTTTCTTTGAATAAATATTCCTGAACCCAGGGCCTTGGGAGCAGAAGCTCACTCAGGTCTTTACTGCACAGATTGACTCCATGGCATCCTCAAGTGTACTAAGGAAGGGTCCCTGCCCCTCTGTGTCTGCCCGCAGGGAGAAGGCATTCTGGGCATCCCACCAAACACTTGAAAGGCAGGCCCTGCTGTTCCCAAGTTCCTAGGCTTCTCCCAACAACCCAGAAAGGTAAGCATGGTCTCCAACCCAGATGGTAAGGAGAGACTGCGGGGAGGCTGTGGGAAAGGTAGTGTTTGTGGACCAGCCTGTGCCTGGGCAGAGTGGAGGGGCCACAGGCAGATGCCATCTCTGTCTCATGGAGCTTCCAGTCTCCTGGGAGAATCTGAACTCCCCAAAAAGCAGCAAATTAATCATTTTGAACTGAATAAGTTGTGTCAAGTGAAAGAACAGGATGCAATTAGAAAATGGTATGTAGAACACCCACCCCGACTCTGGGTGGGAGTCATTAGAGGAGGTGACATTTATGGACCTGAAAAAAGGTAAGGAGTGTGGTGGGGAGTGGTGCTGGCTGGGGAAGCAGCAGGCATAGAGGCCTGACATTGGCAAGAGGGTGGCATAGGAGACAGAGGGGTTGGGGAATTGGGTGGTGCTCTTAGGGTGATGAACCAAGGCAGGGCTGGTCTTGGGTGCTGGCACATGAGGCAGGTATCACCTGGTGAATGGGGTACACAGGTCCAGAGAGACTAAAAGGCAGTAGGCTGCAGGTGTAGAGCTGGACTCCTTGCCAAGGTGAGGCCTGGAGGCACAAGGCTGCCTCTCTCACAAGACCCGGGGGCCATAGGCGGTGAGGAAGACAGGCCCAAGGAAGCAGGCACCCAGCTCCCAGTACTGTGGCACCAGGCTGCACAGGTTACCACATGGGAGTGGCCTGGCCCCAGGGCAAGATTAGGACTGCTGGACCTCTGCTGACCTTTGGTAAGTGGGTTCCAGAGCCTGGAGAAGGCAGAATGCCCCCCGGAAATGCCACAGAACCTAAAGCCAGCCAGGCCTGACAGAAACCCAGGGCTCTTGCCCACCATGTCCTCAGGCTAAGGCCCCCTCTCAGGGGTCTGAGAGGCCCAGCCCTGTGAGGAGGCTGTGACCCAGGGAGCCC